CTCTCTCTGTCTCTCTCTCTCTCTCTCTCTGTCTGTCTGTCTGTCTCACTCTCTCTCTCTCTCTGTGTGTCTCTCTCTGTATCTGTCTCTCTCTTTCTCTGTCTCTGTGTGTGTGTGTCTCTCTCTCTCTCTCTGTCTCTCTTTCTCTGTCTCTCTCTGTCTCTCTCTCTCTCTCTCTCTCTCTCTCTGTGTCTCTCTCTGTCTTGCTCTCTCTCTTACTCTCTGTATCTCTCTCTCTTTGTCTTTGTCTCTTTCTCTCTTTCCCTTTTCCTTTCTCTCTCTCTCTCCCCCCCCTCCCTTGGCCCTGCCATCCCAGGAAACAATTTTAAATCCTTTGCTCTCATTTCATCTCCAAGATATTTTTTCAAAGCGCCCCCCCCCACCCCCCGGTGGCTTGGGAAGCGCCCCCCCATCCGTCCGGTTCCCTTCTGAAAGGAAGCTTAGCGGAATATTTCTTTTCATGCCTCGCGCTCTCCTGCCCCACCACCAGCAGGAAAGGGGTGGGCGGGTGTGTTTTGTGTTTTACAAATCACATTGCAAGGGGGGGGAAAGAGGGGGGGCGGGGAGGTCAAGGGGCAGAACAGGGGGGGCTCTGCAAGGCTGCTGTTTTCTTTTTCGACGGGCGGGTGGGGGGGGGCGGTGATGCAACACTACCTGTTTGATCTTGACTTTTGCTCTCAGGCAGGAAACACACAACGGGGGCGAGCAGCCAGTTTCGAAGCAAACAAGAGACAGCGAATGGGATTAGAAGGACCTTAAATAACTCCCTTGCCACACTGACAAACACACACACACACACAGACAGACACACAAAAGGATGTGTAGTTTTGTTAGGCTGTTGCAAGCCGCTGACCCATAGCACGTCCTGATTCAGCTGGGATGTTGCTGCAAGTCGTGACGTTCTTAATCTTTGGGAAGGGAAAGATGAAAGGTAGCGTTTTGTATACAGGCTAACAGAGGTGGATGGGGCCTTAGAGGTCATCTAGTCCAACCCCTTTCCCCCCCGCTCAGGTAGGGGGGAACCCTATGCCGTTACAAATTACTATCCAGCCTCATCTTGGAAAAACCTCCAATGATGGCACAGCAGCCACAACTTCTGCAGGGAAACCGTCCCTCTGGTTCATTGGTGCAGGTAACCAGAATATAAAAGAGTTGGAAGGCACCTTGGAGGTCTTCTAGTCCAGCCCCCTGCTCAAACTGGAGATCCTATAGCATTTTCGATAGTAGTCTCTTCTTTAAAAGCCTCCAGTGGATGGAGCACCCACAATTTCTGGTGGCAGGTCACTCCGCTGGTCAATTGTCCTCACTCTCCGGAAGTTCCTTCTTAATTCCAGGTTGCTTCTCTCCTGGATGAGTTTCCAGTATTGTAATTCCTGAAGTTAACATGGTTATTGATAAATATAACATTAATAAAAGGTATTGAGACGAGTATATCAAGTTTTTTTTTATGACATACGTTACTTTATATAAAGCTAAAAGTATGATGATGAGAATAACTATAAACAAGCCAGAGGAAAATATAAATGGGATGATTGAATAGCAGATAAATTAGAAAAGAAAGGTTATTGAGTAAGAGTAAAGAGAAATAATGTGAAATTTGTTAAAGGGAATTTACGTGTTTATATGGAAATGGGATAAATTAGAAGAATGTGATATAAAATAATGTGTTACCTGCCTTGTAAAGATTTATAATGGAAAGAGGTTTTATGTTTTTAATGTTTAATGATGTTTTGTTTTGTGTCTTTGTTGTTAAAATCAATAAAATTTGCTTAAAAAAAAAAAGCTAAAAGTAGCATAAAGTTTTGAGTTTTAATGCCTCAAATTTCCACTATGTTATAATTTACAAACATTTAACAAGAAAAAAATTAATATGGTTAACTATTTAATTTCTGACTTCCATCTTTCTTTCCTGTGCTCCAATATTTTACAGTATCTGTTGATGCAGGCTTTTAAAAAAATAACCATACTTTATAAATGTTTGGTTTTTATCTAATTGTCTAATATGAAATATGAATGCAAGCCATTCCTGCTTAATTTTATTTAAACTTCTGTTATGTAAGAGAGACTTTAATTCTCATATCGTGTCCTATATACAGGTAGTCCTTGGCTTACGGCCATAATTGAGCCTCAAATTTATGTCACTAAGTGAGACATTTGTTAAGCCAGCTTTGCCTCATTTGATGACCTTTTTTTGCCACTGCCATTAAGTGAATCTTTGCTGTTAAATTGATAACCCCAACCCCGTTGTTAATTCAATCTGGCTTCCCTCTTGACTTGACTTCCCCGGATCAAATTATGCAACCGTCATAAATATGAGTCAAGCATCCAAACCTTGGTCACGTGACAGTGAGGATGCTACGGTGGTCATAAGTGTGGGGGAAAAATGGTCAAAAATGATCACATCCCCTTTTTTCAACGATGTCGTGATTTCAAGCGGTCACTGAGCGAACCGTTGTAAATTGAGGACGACCTGTCTTTGCAAAAGGCTCGGGATGAGTCATCACGTAATTGATCCAGGACGGTGTCTTCTGCAAGGTCCAGTTCGTGGGACAACAAGGACTCCTCTTTCCCCTATAGTGAGATTTATGATGACAGTCTGCGGAGCATTTCAAATTCTCATCAATTTTAGATGTGTAGCACTCTGTCATAAGGGAGTAAATATTTGTCTCCATATTTGCAAAGAATCTCCCACTCAAAATAGCTTTGTTTTGAAACCGAGCGTAAATAACAGATCATCAGAGTTGCAAGGGACCTCGTAGGTCATCTAGTCCAACCCCCCACCCAAGCAGGAGACCCTACACCATTTCTGACAGATGGGAGTCCAGTTTTTTCTTCAAAGCTTCCAGGGATGAAGCTCCCACAACTTCTGAGGGCAACTTCTGTTCCATGGTTTGATTGTTCTCCCTGTCAGAAAGTTTCTCCTTATTTCCAGGTTGAATCTCTCTCCTTGTTCAGTTTCCATCCATTATTCCTTGTCTGGTGCCTTGGAGAATAGCTTGACCCCCTTCCTCCTCTCTGGGGGAGCCCCTCCCCAAATATTGGAAGATGCTCTCCTGTCTCCCCTGGTCCTTCTCTTCCCTGGACTAGCCAAGTCCAGTTCCTGTAACCATTCTTCATGTTTTAGTCTCCAGTCCCCTCATCATCCTGGTTGCTCTTCTCTGCCCTTTTTCTAGAGTCTCAACATCTTTTTTATAATGTGGTGACCAAAACTGGATGCAGGGTTCTAGGTGTGGACTTGCTAAAGCTTTATAGAGTGGTATTAGTACCTCCCTTGATCTCAATTGTATCCCTCTGTTAATTCAATTTAGGATTGCGTTGGCTTTTTGGGCGGCTGCTGCACACGGCTGGCTCCTATTTAGCTGGTTGTCCACTCAGACTCCGAGATCCCTCTCCCAGTTCCTGCTATTGAGCCTGGTTTCACCCAATCTACATGGGTCCTTTGGGTTTTTCTTGCCTAAGTGTAGGACTTTCCTTTTCTCTACACTGAATTTCATTTTGTGAGATACGGCCCAGGGTTCTAGTCTTGTCGAGATCCCTCCGGATCTTGAGCCTATCTTCTTGGGTGTTAGCTATTCCTGCCAGAGAATATGGGAATAGCCCTGAAGGATACGAAGAAAAGCTACTACAAAGACAGCGGTCAGATAAGTGCTGTCCTGTATCCAACTCCCCCCCCCCCACTTTCCCCATCCACAGGCCAGCGGGAAGAGATTGGAGAGGAAGGGATTATAAGAGAGGAAGCGTTGTGTGAAATAAAGGTAGTCCTCAATTATTTTTTTTTACTACAAGTGGAATCGGAATCGCCATGGCTTAAGCAAGCCGATCGTTAAGTGCAAATCAATGTTGTGACCTTTTATTGCCATCGTTGTTAACCAAATCCTCTGCAAGTTGTTCACTGCCTGACTCTTAAAAAAAGAAATCTGGTCTCCCCCGTGGAGTTCGCTTGTCGAAAGCCAGCTGGAAAGGCCACAAACGGCAATCACGTAGCCTGAGGATACTCCAGCTATCATAAATACTCTACATGCTACTTGTTGAGCCCTCAAATTTTGATAACGTGTCCATGAGGATGCTGCATCATTTCAAGTGCGACTATCAGTTGCAAGTCGCTTTTTTTTAGCGCCGTTACAACTTTGAATGGTCATTGAATGAATGGCTATAAGTCAAGGGTTATCTGTGCACATAGAAAGGAGCCTGGAGACATTAGTAGCCATTGAGCGTACTGTGCAAATAATGACCGTATTCTTCATTGTGTAATTGCTTAATCTCTTGTAATCCCTTTCCCCCCAGTGAAGCATTCGCATAACAGCGAATTCTGATAAATGTGTTCTGACCTTGGCTTTGGCTTTCCCAAAAAGCACTTAAGCCGACTCTCAAACCCCTTTTATTAAATGAAGGTGAATTTTTGGCGTTCACCTTCAGCCAAAGGCCTGGCCAGTGGTCTTTCAAGGGTGTAATTTGGAGCACAGACCTGATCTAGCTTGGAGAGCGGCCAAGTAACTATTTCCAAACGCAGTGCTGACAAGGAAGGGCTCGGTAAAGAGTCTCTGAGATGCACAGGCAGATCTTCACACAGCTGCAACGAACGAATTGTTTCCTGCAAAAGCCCCCTCCCCTTTCGCTCCTCTTTTAATCCCCATGGGAGGGGCCATTCACCGTCCACCTGTGGCCTTACTCCCGAGTCGACCCTTGTTCCTTAACTGTTCCCTTCTCCTGGCAGCTCTGTGCATGCGCACACTGGGAACAGGCTCCAGCTGTTCCTCTGCCCCACTGAGCTCCGGCTCCAAATGCAGCTGATAACTGTCGGACGGCCCTGGCCCCATCTCTGCCTCCGACACAGAGCCCTTGTCCGAGCCTTCCTCAGCCTCCAGGACTGGCCCACGTTCCTCCCCAACTTCCTCACTACTGTCCGACTCTGCTGCCAGCTCTGCTAGCTGCCAGCGGGCCACAACAAAATGTGTCCATGGGTCTAAATAAAGGGGTGATTGATATATATTTATCTTTATCTTTATGTGTATGTATGTCTGTATGTTTTTCTTTTTCCAGTTTTTACAAACTACTACCACGGCCCAAGATCTCACAGTTTGACCATCAACAACACCAACTTATTGCTGAACATCTCCACCGAACGTTCGTCGATGGGAAATCAGAGCGACGGTCCTTCAGCCACCCCGCATGAGGGGCGAGAAACGGCCGTTTTGAGTCTCATGTTGATGTTGGGGACGTTGTGGCTTGGTCACACTCTCTATCAGTTCAAGAAAAGGTAAGCTGTCGGGATTCCAGCAATTGCCCTAATTAAATCATGATTCCCGAGCCAAGCTTCAAAAAACCTCGAAGGAGTCATTAGAGGCGACATCCTGGCCCTGTCCGGTATGAAGCCAAATCTGGCCTGTGTCATTTACAGTCCCCTGGGACCCTGTTTCCTCCCTCTCCCCTGGGTGTGTCATCAATCACATTCTCCAACTGAACACCTTCACAAGCTGGGCGTCATCAATCACATTCTGCAATTAAATATATTCGCAGGCAAAAACTCTGGTAGTTTAGTTACAATCTTTTAAAGATAAAAGAGTTGGAATGTTCTTTCGCTTTACTGCACTGCTCTTCCAGATTCCTTCCTGACCCCCTTTTTTAATGGCAACTACTAAAACAAGCATAGGAATCTTTTATGAGTTGACATAAGCTACCTTCCGGTGTAAATTGTGTGCATGGGGCCCGCTGGCCGTTTCTCCCCATCGGTGTTTTCTCAACCTCGGCAACTTGCAGACGCGTGGACTTCAACTCCCAGAATCCCCCAGCCAGCCATCTAGATTTGGAGGCGGGGGGTGCTGTCTCCAAACAGGGAAACTTTTAAGGCTTGTGGACTTCAACTCCCAGAATCCCCCAGCCAGGCCTCTTGAAGTCGGCACGGTTGAGAAATGATGCTCCATTTTGGAAGGCTGGGACGAAAAAAAAACGGTGTAGGAGAACGATCCGCACGGGAGAGAGGAAAGGATCGTTCCAAAACGGACAAAAAATGTGGTGACGGGGCTCAAAAGAGCCCGTTGATAGGGTTAAAGGAACGTGGTAGGAGGAACCGCCATCTTAGACAAACAGGCTAACAATAAACAATAGCCTAATCAAGAAAGTACCAAGAAGAAAACAACACGACCTCCAACACCACAGGGCAATCCACTTGTGTATAAGCAGAGAGCAAATCTCATTCCCTTGTAGCACTGATGATGTTACCAAGCTGGGTCATGAAATGTCTGTAGCAGAGGCCTCCAAATTTGGCAACTTTAAGACTTTAAGCTATGCTGGCTGGAAAATTCTGGGAGTTGAAGTCTTGCTAGGTTTGGGGACCCCTGGTGTATAAGAAAATCACAAATCTCAGAGGGCAGTCCTCCTCTTCCTTCTTCCTCCTCTTCTCCTCCTTCTCCCTCCTCCTCCTTTTTCTCCCCCCCTCTTCCTCCTCCTCCTCCTCCTCCTCCTCTTCCCACTCCCTTCTAGCACTGATTATTTTACCTAGTTGGGTCATGAAACGTCTGCAATAAAACCCCCAAGCTCAGACAGCTTCAAGGATTTAAGCTATGCTGGCTGGAAAATTCTGGGAGTTGAAGTCTTGCTAGGTTTGGGGACCCCTGGTGTCTTCTTCTTCTTCTTCCTCCTCCTCCTCCTCCTCCTCCTCCTCCTCCTCCCTCTTCTCCTCCTTCTCCCTCCTCTTCCCCCTCCTCCTTTTTCTCCCTCCTTCTTCTCCTCCTCCTCCCTCCTCCTCTCTACAAAGCCCACTCCCTTCTAGCGCTAATGACGTTACCTAGTTGGGTCATGAAAAGTCTGCAAGAAAACTACCAAGCTCAGAGAGCACCACGGACCCCCACGGACCATCATTTCTCCAAGGAAAACTCCTACACTCTGAACCTTGTTCAACAGAACTCAACAGAGAGAGAGGGAGGCTGAGTGACGGGCATGGGCGTTGGCATCTTGACCAACCTTGAAAACTTGGCCAACATGCCACTTGAAGATGTCCTAATGATTCTCCCTGAGCAGCTGAGACAAGGTCATTTCCTCTGGGCCGGCAATAGTTGGGAGCTGTTAAAAGAAAAATGGAGTAGGTAAATGATACCATGCGAAACTGAATCAGAAAGCCGAACGTGTAATTATGATTATGTACGTAGGCTACAACCTGAAATCACATCGTTAGCTTAAAGAGATGTTTAAAGAATAAAAATTTAAAAAAATGTATAGCAATTGTTGGGAGTTTCATCCCGATCTTTCAACCACCTTCAACAGGGCAGGAGCTGGAGCGGAGTCCTAATTCGGTGTTTCTAATTTCGTTGCAGCCCCTACCTCCATCCGCGCGTCCGCGAGATCCTCTCGGATTGTGCGCTGCCCATTTCTGTCCTCACCTTCTCTGTGATCGGATCCCACTTCTTTGAGGAAATAAAAAGTAAGTTCTCTCAGGGGTTGGGTGGGGTTGAAGTGGAAGGGAGTAGGGAATTCCCAGCCTTGATTTATCCATGGAATTGATTTGCCACAAATGTCCTCGTGGCAAACGACTCTGTGTCGTTGCAAGATGGCGTCTGCCTTGCTAGGTAAACCAGGCTGGAATCACTACCAGAGGAGCTAATTCTGTTTTATGGTAGGGTTATTTTAAGATAATATTGCGAGTCGAAAAGTATGAGTAGTACTTAGTTGCAAGTTAGTAGTTGCAAGTTAACTGCAATGGAACCAGGCATTTCTGTGGCTAACTGAGAAAGTTGTTAAGTGAGTTTTCTCCCCATTCTTGCTGCGGTTGTTAATGACCGGCTGGGTGACTTTGGGCCAATCACCAGGAGACGGTGAGTTCTAGTCCCACTTTAGGCATGAAAGCCGGATGGGTAACTTTCAACCAATCACCAGTAGATTGGGAGTTCTAGTCCTGCCTTAGGCATGAAAGCCAGTTGGGTGACTTTGGGCCAATCACCAGGACACAATGAGTTCTAGTCCTGTCTTAGATATGAAGCCTGGATGGGTGGCTGAGCCAATCAACAGGAGACAGGGAGTTCTAGTGCCGCATTAGCCATGAAAACTGGATGGGTGACTTTGGGCCAATCACCAGGAGACGGGGAGTTCTAGTCCCGCCTTAGGCATGAAAGCCGGCTGGGTGACTTTGGGCCAATCACCAGGAGACGGTGAGTTCTAGTTTTGCCTTAGGCATGAAAGCCAGCTGGGTAACTTTGGACCAATCACCAGGAGACGGGGAGTTCTAGTCCTGCCAAACAACCCGAGTTCCGATCAATATCTCGATAACCAGAAATTTTCCAATCTCGGCCTGAGCGGTGTTCCTTTGAACTCGTACCTATAATTCCTCGCTCCACAACGAGCATCTCTTCGCAGAATATTCAATTCTCTGAATGATTCTAGTCCACCGTTTAATTTCGCTATCGTGGAAAAAGGCACCTTTACTGACGGGTTGTGGGGGGGTGGTTGTTTTATTTTTGAGAAGAAGAAAAAACCCCTTTTATTTTCCCCACACACTCAATTATTCTGGCATCCAGCAAAACAACTACCTCACTTTCCAGAGGCCGGAAGAACCGCTGACGGACAGACAGGTGGTGCAAAAGAGATGAGTTTGATGGAGTTTTTTTCCCCTCCAGCTTTGATATTTTTTTTGGGGGGGGGGGTCTTTTTATGCTGCTGTTTTGTATTTTGCTCGTTAAAACGGCGCAAACAGTCCGGAACATCTGCTGCCTTAGGAGCATCAGACGTCGAAGGAAATCTAAAATATTATCCACGGCTGCCGTTGGGGTCCAGCGGATCATCTTTTCCGCAGGAGGAAGGGAAAAACCCAATTCTCCATCCTCTGAATGACGTCGGTTGGAAATGTGCGGACGGGGATGAAAGGGAATGAAGAACTCCGGCGCTGCCCCCTCCTCCTCCCTTTTGTGCGGGTCGCATTTCCACCCGCCTGGAACCGGAAAGGGGCAAAACCTCTGCAGATGTGTTGGCTTGACACAACAGTGTCCTTGCTCTCCCTCGCTGCAAAGCGACAACTTCTCCGTGCTTTCAAGCATCCCTTGATTTTGCTTTGCCCTGGAAAGGATGCACAAAATCCATCACGGCTGCGAAGAGGGAAGAGGCGCCTCGATGCCTGTTTGTTTTATTTCTTTTTTTAAGCTATTTATTTGTATCCTGCCTTCATTACTGTTTGTATACCACTCGAAGTGGTGAACATACCTCATAGGTCCTTCGCCTTTGTATTTTCCCCACAACGACAAACTTCTGAGGTGGGTTGGGCTGAGAGAGAAGGATTGGTCCAAAGTCACCCAGCTGGCTTTCGGGGCTAGGAGGGGACTAGAACTCACCATCGCCTGGTGATTGAGTGAAAGTCACCTAGTTGGTTTTCAGGCCTAAGGCAGGACTAGAACTCACCATCACCTGTTGATTGGCCCAAAGTCACCCAGCTGGCTCTCGTGCCTAAGGTAGGACTAGAACTCACCATCTCCTGGTGACTGG